CAAGCGCCCCGCACAACCGTCCCCGCCTGCCGCCCAGGCACGGCCTCCTCGTGTTGACCCTGGCCCGCTCCAGCGGATTGACTGCCAATTTACACCAACATGTGCAACCAGGCCAGGGACTTGGTGGCAGGGACTTGGCCGGGTGGCTCGTCCCTTAGGGCAAAGGCTCCCTCAGAAGGAAGTGCAGAGAGGTTGAGGCACCTCTGTCGCCAGGAGAGTGTGGGGATGGGCTTTACTGTCTGCAAGTGGGACGGTCCCCCCACCCCAAATGAGTGTAACGTGGTGGGGGAGAGAGTCCGGGAGGTGAATGAGATTAAGTGTGACGAGAGATGAGCTGCCCCATTGTTGTCTCCCATTGCTCCTCATCCACCGCTTCTGCTGCTGTTTCTCCAGGTCGGGTGACTCCGGTCTCCACCGGCCGCCATGGATTGGAAAACGCTGCAGGCGCTGCTCAGCGGGGTCAACAAGTACTCCACGGCCTTCGGCCGCATCTGGCTCTCCGTGGTCTTCGTCTTCCGTGTGCTGGTCTACGTGGTGGCAGCTGAGCGCGTGTGGGGAGATGAGCAGAAGGACTTTGACTGCAACACGCGGCAGCCGGGCTGCACCAACGTCTGCTACGACCACTTTTTCCCCATCTCCCATATCCGTCTCTGGGCGCTGCAGCTCATCTTTGTCACTTGCCCTTCCCTACTGGTCATCATGCATGTGGCCTACCGGGAGGACCGCGAGAAGAAGAACCGGGAGAAGAATGGGGAGAATTGCCCCAAGCTCTACAGCAACACGGGCAAGAAGCACGGCGGGCTGTGGTGGACCTACCTGCTCAGCCTCTTCTTCAAGCTTATCATAGAGATCCTGTTCCTCTACCTCCTCCACAAGATGTGGGACAGCTTTGACTTGCCACGGCTGGTCAAGTGCTCCAATGTTGAGCCCTGCCCCAACACTGTGGACTGCTACATCGCTCGGCCAACCGAGAAAAGAGTCTTCACCTATTTCATGGTCGGAGCTTCCTCCATCTGCATCGTCCTCACCGTCTGTGAGATCTTCTACCTCATCTTCAAGCGGGTTGTCCAGAGGGCGCGGAAGTGGAAGAAGTCCATCAAGCGCTCAGTCAGC